TATATACTTATATACCATCTCTATACATGTATTTGTTTTATTTAAGATCATTTATCGTTTAGATTTATATTTAGAGCTGTAATGCACTCTAGTAGCTCTGCTTACTCTCCGCCTCTTTGCCCTTGTTTGGTATCCCGCCATGGGTGTGATGACGCGTGAACAAAATGGCGACGGTTGGCCGCGCCTACTTGTGGCTTCTTTTGCGCTCTTTAGAAACCTATGGATGACGTCACGGATACTACGTCCATATATTTTACAGTCTATGGTAAACACCTTAATCAAACTATTACCGTCATGTAGGACTTTCGGCAGCGTTTTGCGACAAGATTTGCGGTATGAACTTCCATTAAAAATACACTCTTCTAGCAGTTCATAGTTGCATCCAGTATCTCGTTTGTCATAGTGGGCGTGCATGAAATGTTCGTGAATGAAAGTGAAAGTGCCAAACTGCAGTTGAAGTCGACAAATCAAAAGTAAAACACCCAAAATGACATGAAACTCTGGAGGAAATGCGGTTAGCGTGGTGACACAATGACGTTAATCAGATTAAGTGCTATAACATGTAAAACAGGATTACGAAAGTAACACTCAAAAAGCAACTCATGTAGACACCTTAGTCTTATTATTTGCCTAATTAGATTAAAGCAAATAATTCAATTACTATTGACCATGTAAACATAGTCACTGTCTAGCTGAAATGTCTGCTCTGGTTTCATCTTCATCATCCTGCTAATGTAGATGTTTCACTGAAGCAGTTGATATTCATTTACACTGACGAAGGGCAGAGGGTTGCTGAAGAACTACTGAGAGATTTCAGCTGCTGTCTGTGATTTCACTCCCTCTCTACACCTCCCTTTCTTAATGTGTTTAATATTTTTCCCTGTATCATTTAATTTTATTATGCATAAGAATTAATTTGTATACTAATCAGATTTGATTTCTTTGCATTTTTCTGGGAAAAATTGGTGACGTGTTTAATACTCATTTTCCCTGCTGTAGGAATAATTCCTTATAATAATGAAGGAAGAGGGGAGACAACGTGTCTCACTTGAGCTGCTCCAGTCCCAGATACCAGGGGCTTCTGACTTCTGTTTGTTTTAATTTTTATAATGTGAACTAAGTTGCTGGTATGAGTGAGGTGTGCGGTGTCTTTTTTATTATTTAAACCTTTTTCTCCTGTTTTAGTGTGTAGGCAGGGAGAAAGGGAAGTAATATGTTTTCTTTCTTTTGGGAATGTTTATTTTGTTAGGCAAGTTATTTTGTCTTAAATTAGTTATTGGTTGTTTTGTTTGTTATTTTGGACCCCCCATATCCTGAGGTAATTTTTTTGTTTTGTATTATTTCTTTAAAATTTAAGATACATTATTTAATTTGATCACACAATAAATCAATGGTTGCCTGATGGTGATCAGAATATTAAGAAGGTGTTGACTGTTGATTCTGGGTCTGGAAGCGGTACTCTCCCCTCTTCCTTCATTTGTTGGTTCCTAGCTGTGTTTTACCTCTAGATTTAAGTGGGAATGTAACAATTGGAAGGAATATTATTCCTTCATTATTTTATATGCAGTGTTGAGTTGGGATTAGGGCTGCACAATAGATCATTTCAGCATTGATATCATAATGTGCTCATCCGCAATAGTCACATTGCAAGATCTGCAATGTTGAGTATGAATTATAGTTGAACAGGAGCTACAGAACTCGTGTGATTTGTAGAGTCGCTGCTAAGTTTAACCATAATAGTGAAGGTTTATCATTTGCATGAGTCTTTAAGGTCTGTGACTGTGCATTTCAAGAGAGTTTAAAACATTTGGGCACAAAAATATGATGCTGAAAAAATGTCTATATTTATTAGTCTATGATATTCATATGGGAAAAAAGTGTTTTTTCTTACTTGAAATGTTTGCCCTATTTTTAGTCCAAACATCTACATTTCAAAGAAAAACTAGCTTTGACTCAAATAATTAAGCTTGTTTTAAAGGAAAAACTCTCAATTGTGACTTATTTCTTCCGAAGGTGAAAACTAAACATTGTTTTTACTTGATCTAAGATTTTGAGATATTTTTGACTAGAAACAAGACAAAGTTTTTTTTCTTTTTTTTTGCATTGTGAACAATTTATTTATGTACCTGAATACTGTTATACTCCCCACAAAACTGTGAAATAGAGCTATTCAACACATTGTGAAACTGTATTTATATTGCAATATTTAATTGCAGAAAAGTAAAATATGACAACATCCAATTTTTCCCAATATCATGCAGCCCTAGTTAGGATTGACAACTGAAAATTCATGAAATTTGTGGAGTCATTGCATAGTATAACCATAACAGAGTAAAACTTTTTCATTTGTATGTGTTTTAAAGGCATTTCGATAAAGTTTAAAACATTCGGGCACAAAAATGTAGAACATGACTAACTTTACTGAATTACTACAAAGAAGACTATACAGTGGTATTTTTACATTTCATTATTCAGTTTCTGAATCTGAATACTGTTTGACTCTCCAGAAACCAATTCTTTGACTTTTTTCTTAACTCTATTGTAATTATTCTTGCATGCAATTTGTTTATTATATTTATACATGATATACACAAGGACTGCACGATATTGATAAAAACTGGCATTGCATTACTTTATTTTTCTATGATATATATTGCGATATTGAATATATAATTTCACCAGATGAAATGAATATATCTATTTGAAAAAAAGTCACAATTTCCAACGCAATCTCACTGCAATTCGTAACTTTTTGATGTAGTGGCTAATTCGTATGAATAATACGATCTAATTCTTAAAATTTAGTACGATTTGCTCATCACCCAGTGACGGTTGGGGTTAGGGGTGGGGTTTGGTGCCACGCTTCCTTTTAAAAATCGTACATTTTCGTACTACTGAACTTGTACGAATTCGTACGAATTAGCCACTAAACTGACAAAACATAAAATACTTATGTTTCCTCGTAAGATCAGTTTGCAATTTCCAATACATTGGCATGATTTTGTTAGGGGGTGCATCTACATAAAATAAAATGAACCACTCACAATCATTGAGAAATATAATAGTGCAACAACAATACTCTACAAATAAAAGGTCACACTTTATTTTGAGGGTCTTTTGTTAAATTTTAGTTACATTGCATCTACATGCCAACTAATTCTCATTAGATTATAAGTAGACTGTTAGGTTAGGGTTAGAGTTAGTGTAAGCTGACATGTACAGTACTTGCAAAGTTTCTTAGTCAGTTAAATGTCTGTTGAAGGATTTGTAAATGTCAGTATGAACAGATATTAAACAGACAGTCTACTAATACTCAGATGGACCATCAAAATAAAGTGTTACCAAATTAAATATACAGTGTTATGGTTATCTGAAATTCTAACAATTTATAAATACTAAAATTGAATAAACAGATGTAAAGTAACACCATATAGTCTCCATAATATATACACATAAATGCCATTGATCTTCCTTAAAGTTAAACATGCATTTTCTTATGCCTGAATATTTTTCAAACTTAATAAAATAACAAAAAACACACATTAATAATAAACTTTTTGTTAACTTTATGGTTGTACATTGCAAAAACCTTTCAAATTCTGGTCCATAATAATACCAGTTCAACATTGTAGATTCTGCAATGTGACTATTGCGAATGGGCACATTTTGATATTGATGCTGAAACGATATATTGTGCAGCCCTAATCCACACTCTTACAAAATCACCACAATCAATCTAAACTCAAGTGTTTTTTTTTCTTCAAATAGGACCATTCAAGCCATCTGGTAAAATTGTATTAATATCGCAATAAATATATCACAGAAAAAACGAAACATTGCAACGTCAGATTTTTCCAATATCCCTACTTTACAGTATATTGTAAAGTAGGGATATTGGAAAAATATGACATTTTAACTTAAATTGATAATTTAATGGCCGTTATTTTACAGTTTATTTCTATAATTTAATTAACCATTATTAAATAAACCGTTATTTTGCGGTTTATTTCCGGCACCCCAGCTGCCAAAAATAACCCGAAAAAAATTAATCGTAAAATAACGGGCGTTAAATTATAGAAATAAACTGTAAAATAACGGCCGTTAAATTAAATAAATCGTAAAAAACGGCAGTTATTATAGAAATAAACCATAAAATAACGGCCGTTAAATTATAGAAATATACTGTAAAATAATGGACAATAAATTATAAAAATAAACCATAAAAAAACGGCCGTTATTATAGAAATAAACCGTAAAATAACGGCCATTAAATTATAGAAATAAACTGTAAAGCAATGGATTTAAAATGACAAAAATTTCCTTACATTTAAATTTCTGGTAAATTTCTGTAATTTAACACCCTTTACTTTGCGATATATTTCTGTAATTTAACAAATATTATTTTAAGTTTTTTTTTCCGGCACCCCAGCTTCCCGAAATAAATCATTAAATTACAGATTTTTTTACAGTGTACATATTTTAATAGACTGAAATTAGCACTGCATATAAACACAGACACCGACAAATATTAGCAAATTCAATGTGACTGACCTTTAAATGCAAATAACATGCATGATGAGCTCATGAATATTCAGTGGCATCACGAGCACACTGATAGTTGTCAAAAAAGTTGCATTTGAGCAGATGGGGCCTAATTATGCCTTTAGGCAGCGACCAGAATAAATGTTTTGCATCGATGAGCTGTTGTATTCAAAGCCCTGCACACGTTAGCATGACAAAAGACAGATGTGACATTCGGATATACATTAGAGAGACCTGTTTGTATAAGATTATATTTATATAAAGCAGCCCTGCTCTGTTAATGCAGACGGATAAGTCAGCAAACCTGAACCAGACTGGGGTAATATGAAAACGTACAACTTCATAAATAATGGTCAAGGGAAGGGAGCGGTGATTGAAAGGATGATTGTATATTGTGAATTGAGCAATTTTGTTAGGCTGATTTTGACAGTGTCATGATGTTCCGCCGTGTGTTTCAGGCTGTGGGACGGATTGGGATGGGATTCGCTGCTGGCACACAGCCAACACTGGACAGCTCATAAATGTGTCCTGCTCTGATGTCTTTCAGCACATCTCCAACACTCAAGGTCAGATTGACATGTCTGTCTGTCCGTCTGTCTGTCTATCCGGCACTCATCAACCCATCCCATTCCCTATCCTTAAAGAGATAGTTCACCCAAAAATGGAAACACACTCTCACTCGCAAAAAGGTCCAAACCTTTAAGCAGAGATGGCAAAAGTACACACAGCCTTTACTTAAGTAGAAGTACAGATACTCATGTTTAAACCGATTCTGATGAAAGTAAAAGTACTGACTACACTTTTGTACTTAAGTAAAAGTAAAGAAGTACCGCCTCAAAAATGTACAAAATCAAAAAAGCAAAAAGTAATTGTTTCAGTCACAGTCCAAAAAACATGCGGTATAGGTGAATAATAGGTAACTAAATTGGCAGTGGTGTATAAGTGTGTGTTAATGAGTATGGGTGTTTCCCAGTACTGGTTTGCAGCTGGAAGGGTATCGGCTGTGTAAAACATATGCTGGATTAATTAGCGGTTCATTCTGCTGTGGCGATGCCTGATAAATTCGTGACGAAGCTGAAGGATTATGTGAGGATAGGTACACTGTAAAAAAAAAATTAAAAAAAAAAAGGTAAATGACTAATAACAGATTTTTTTTATTTTTTTTTTTACAGAGCAAGTAATTACAATTTATTACTTTTATTTTACGTAATTTTAAATGTGCTTCATAAAAAAAGGAAAAAACACTGTGTAAATAATAAGGCAATTTTATTGTATAAAACATAAAAATTGCTGTAATTTGTCATTACTTATATAGTACATAAAATAACAGTCAAGCTTTTAATTTACAGATATTGTTTGTAATTTTTACGGATTTTTGAATATAATTTAAAATAACAGAAAAAATACTGTATAAATAATATTGTAATTTCCCTGTACAAAAATAAAAAATGTCAGTAATTTGTCTTTAATGATAAAGTACCTAAAATGAAAGTCAAACTGTGAATTTAGAGAGATTGTTTGTCATTTTACCAAGTTCTACATATAATTTTAAATGACAAAAAAATACTGTAAAAAATTTAGGGATAATTTCTGTAAAATTAGGTTTTTTTTTACAGTGTAGGTAACGAGCCCTCACATTCTATTGATACATTAATATAAAATAAATGACATTTCCAATTTTTATGTAAAATGTTAGCTGCCAAAGTTATGAAAGTAGCCAAGCAGCATCGAACTCTGCAACATAGCCTAACAACATTGTTTAAAAAATGCGGCCAATGTATCATCTTCCTGATGCAAACTCAGTGTTCAGCATGTAGTTTTGCGGCTGTTAGATTAAAAACATCAGCTGCCATTCATGTTGATTGTAGGCCCGTCTATCTTTATAAACAATGTCTTACGTTTTACACTGAAATCTGTGCAAAATATATTGAATTATTTATTTTTTTTGCTCAAATAAATTCTTATCAAATTCTTATCAAAAAGTTACAAACTTTTTTTTTCTGCATTAAGGTTGAATGCGGTTTAGCATAAGGGTTTATCACACCATATAAATCACAAGTGTTAGGATTAGGTTTTAACTAAAACATAATTCTAATGTAACGTTAGAAACGCAAGTCGGAGGTTCACCTTACATAACAACACACACACACACATAACTTACAAATATAAAGAATAAACTTACCACAGACGTAAATCACTCTTCCACTCTTATTCGTTGAATATCCCATAATGCCTCAGAAGATTTGAAATTTACAGCAGTATCCTGCATTCTTCGTTAAACTTGCACGTGACCGAAGAAATCGCACATTTTACAGCAAAATGCTGTATTATTAGAAAAACAATCAGCTGCTGTAAAAAAATGCTGTAATTTTCGCAGCCATTTGTTACAGTGTAGGCTAAAGGTGCTTATTTCTTCAAGGAGCAGCACTTATACATAACCCAGAAATAAAAAAAATAAAAACGTAATGCATACATTTTTATAAAGTGTTTAGTTGTTTTATTTCTAAATGTACAAATCTTTATAAAATTCTTATTAAGAAATAATATAGATCGCACCACCGAACACATGAAAACGAAAGAAACAACCATGGTTTTAAAAATGTGAGGAGTAGAAAGTACAGATATTTGTGTAAAAATTTAAGAAGTAAAATTAAAAAGTTGTCAAAAAACAAGTAATGGAGTAAATTACTGATACTAGAAAAATCTACTTTAGTACAGTAACCAAGTATTTGTTCTTCGTTACTTCCCAACTCTGCCTTTAAGGGATTCTCTCTTCTGTTGAACACACACAAACATGTATAACTAGAAGAAAACATTGACATCCGTAGTCAAATACTGTGGAAATTAATAGTTAATGATTACCAGCTTTCCTAAAAATTTGTGTTTAACAGAAGAAAGAGACTCGTTAATGTTTGGAACAGGTGAAGGAGGAGTAAATGCTTGCAGGATCTTAATTTTTGGGTTTATTTTCACTTTAATCCTCCCATCTTCATCATTCTTTATCCATCCTCCATCCATTAGCTATCCATCCACCTATTTATCCATCTATCCATCCATCCATCCCTCATCCATCCACTCATGCGTCTATCTTTCCCTTTATCAATCTATTAAAGCTGTACAATTAATCAAAAAAACATGGCAATCTCGATTCGCCCTCCTAGACAATCTTAATCCAGCATTTCTCCGATTCTGCCAATCATATTTTCAAGTTCAGGAGAGGAGCAAAGGCGGCTGCACGAGTCTTTTTATTGTTTCCCAAACGTTGCTCAGCGACATGGACACCTCCAAATGATGTTAAAGAGTCACACACTGTATTTAAAAGGCATAATTCACCCAAAAATATCATTTTTGTCTTCATATAATTCTGTATTCAGGGCCGGGAAATCTCAAGTGATGTGAGCTGCTGACTGTGGGTCTACTACCCATCCACCAATCCTCTATCCATATATCCACCCACCCATCCTTCCATCCATCCATCAGCCACTCATCTATTCACTCTTCCATCCATCATTCAATCCATCCATCCTTTTTCTATCCATCATCCACCCATCTATACATTCATCCATCCAATCCATCATTTATCTGACAGCATCCGCTATTCATCAATCCACCTATCCGTCCACCCACCTATCTATCATCTACAATCCTCTATCCATCCACCCATCCATCCTTTATACTCCAATCCATCCATCATTCACACAACCATCTTTCAGTTCATCCATCATCCACCTATCCATTCTCTATCCACTTATTATCCATCCATAATCTATTCAGTCTTCTACCCACCCATCCATCATCTACCAATCCTCTATCCATCCACTCACCCATCTTTCCATCCATCCATTACCCACCCATCTATTCACCCATCCATCCATCATTCAATCCATGCAACCTTTTTCCATCCATCCATCATCCACCTATCCATAGATTCATCTATCCAATCCATGCTTTATCTAAATATCCATTCTCTATTCACTATCCTCTATCCATTCATCCATCCATCCATCCATCCATCCATACTTTATTCAGTAATCTATCCATCCTTTATCCACCCACCCATCAATCACTTACCAATCCTCTATCATCCACCCACCCATCCTTTGTCCACCAATCCATCCATCATTCTCACAACCGTTTTTCCATTGTCCAATTCATCCACCTATCCATTCTCTATCCACCCATTTATCCATCTATTATCTATTCATTCTTGTATCTATCCATTTTTATTAACTAATCCAATCATCCATCCTTTATCCACCTACCCATCATCTACCAATCCTCTATTCATCTACCCACCCATCCTTCCATCCATCATCCAACAATCCTCTATTCATCCACCCATCCATCCTTCCATCCATCATCCACCCATCCAATCATCATTCAATCCATCCATCATCCATCCATCCTATATTTATCCTCTATCTATTCGTCATTCACCCATTCATTCTCTATCTCACTTTCCTTTGGCTTAGTCCCTGATTCATCTTGGGTTGCGACAGCGGAATGAACCGTCAATTACTCTGGCATGTTTTATCCAGCAGATGCCCCTCCCAACACTAAGATTACCCAACATCATCTATCTATGAATCATCAATACAAGAATTTGTCCACCCATTTTGCCATACATTCATAACACAGCAATCCATCCTCTATCGACTTATCAGTCCATCCACCCATCCTCTATCCATCTACCTATCCAGCCATGCTCTATTCATACAGCCATCTATCCACCCACCCCTCCACCTATCTTACTGTAGTTTGTTATGCAGTGATGATCACTGCCGTCTCTCTTTATCATCAGCCGGTGTGACTCAGCTGAGCTTCAGGCTCATGTCACATGAAAGCTTTGTCAAACAGAGTTGCTTCTTGAGGCCTGGTGTTCAGTAAGCGTGGCTGAAAGCTGTCACAGTTCTACTTTACGGTTTGGTCTTGTAATAGCGTCCGGGTCACTAGTCTTTACAATTACAGGACTGTGATTTTACAGAATGTTTGAATATGCAGACAGAGAGTCACAGAGAGCCACAGAGAGAGACGACCTGTATATACATACAGTACATCCACTCAAATATTAATTCTGCAGCAGGCTAAATTTAGCTAATTAAATTTGCTAATGCGCCACTATTTCCCGAACATTTCTTCACATGGTAATTTCACAGCACACAATCATTTTGTATTCATGAAATGGAAATGTACTTACTCCATTTGCGTTGGGACTACATGAATAATTTTCATTGGAAATACAAAAGAGAGAGATGATGGACAGAGATTCAGTGCTCTTAAATGATATATTGGTAATTATTTTTTTTTGAAAAAAAAAAGTTGTTGCATGCTAGATAGGGCTTACGATATTGGGAAAATGCTATATTAATGCTATTCATTTTCTTGTTGGCTTAGTCCCTTTATTAATCCGGGATCGCCACAGCGGAATGAACTGCCAACTTATCCTGCACATTTTTACGCAGCGGATGCCCTTCCGGCCGCAACCTATCTCTGAGAAACATCCACACACACACTCATACACATTAGCCTACCCAGTTCACCTGTACTGCATGTCTTTGGACTGTGG